GTAGTCGTAGTAGTAGCAGTAGTCGTAGTCGTAGTCGCCGTAATCATATTAGTAGTAATGAAGGTGGTAGTAATAGTAGTAGTGGTAGTAATAGTCGTAGTAGTAGTAGTAGTAGTCGTAGTAGTAGTAGTACTAGTACTAGTACTAGTAGTAGTAGTAGTAGTAGTAGTAGTAGTAGTAAAGGAGCTTTCTTTGATCTGGAGCCTCCTGGCAACTGATTTGGAGCCTCCAGACCGCCCTCGTCCAGGAAGAGGAGGAGGAAGGAGGAGGGGCAGGAAGGAGGAGGAGGAGGAAGGAGGAGGAGGAAGGAGGAGGAAGGAGGAGCAAGGAGGAAGAGAAGCCACTCGGCGGTGGAGGAGGAGGAGGAGGAGGAGGAGAGGAGGAGGAGGAGGAGGAGGAGGGGAAGAGGAGGGGGAGGAGGAGGAGGAGGAAGGAGGAAGAGGGGGGAGGAAGAGGAGGATGAGAAGCAGGAGCAGAAGGCCCGATTGCGGCTGTGGTTACGCATCTGGCAGGCACTCCCCCTCTGCCTTTTCCCTCCCTCCTTCCCCCCTCTGCCTTTTCCCTCCCTCCCTATTTCCCCTTTCCACATCCTCATTTTTTCCTTCTCTCCCTCCTCCTTTCTTCCTCCCCCCTCCTCCTCCTCCCCCTCCTCCTCCCCCCCCTCCTCCTCCTCCTCCTCCTCCTCCTCCTCCTCCTCCTCCTTCTCTTCTCTCTTCCTTGTATTCCTCATCATCATTTTCCTCTTTTCCTCTTCTTTCTCATATTCCTCCTCCTTTTCTTTCTCCTTCTTTCCCCTCTTCTTTCTCCATCCCTTTCCCCCCCTTTCCCACCTCGTTCCTTTCCCCCCTGTCCCTCCTCCCCCTGCTCCTCCTCCTCCTCCTCCTCCCCCTCCTCCTCCTTTTCCTCCTCCTCCTCCCTCTCCTCCTTCTCCTCCTCCTCCTCCTCCTCCTCCTCCTCCTCCTCCTCCTCCTCCTCTTGGGGGGTCAGGGGTCAGGAGTGCTGGAGGCGTCTTCGCCCCTCTTCTTCTCCTCTTATTATTGGGGCCCATCACCACGTGCACCTCTCCCTCTTCCAAGCCTTTTTTCCCCGTTCTCCATCATCATTGTGGTTCGAGACCTGTTGGCCCGCAGGCACGCGCCCTCTCCTCCTCGTCCTCTTCCTCCTTCTTCTTCCCCTCCTCTTCCTCCTCCTCTTCTACTTATCCCCTCCTGGCCATAAGTCATCCTTTTCCTCCTTCTCCTTCTCCTCCTCGTATTCCTCCTCCTCACCTTCCTCCTCTCCTCCTCCTATCCCCGTGGCCGGGGCTGCCATGGCCGACCAGCGGGTGCTCCTCAAGGACAGGAGGAAGATCCCGCGGCTAACCCTACCAGCAGATGTGACAGCAGATGATCTGGAGCAGCAGGATTGCCATGGGAGTGGGAGGCGGATAACAACAGCAGGAGGAATAGGATGAGGAGGGGGATGAGGGTTAGGGGAGAGAGGAGGGCCAAGCTTTTTTGTGGCCCTTGGAGGCCCTATGGTCGCCACAGCTGGGCCCAGCTCGAACAACTGGTGCGCATGGACCCTGGAAGGGGTCCTCCTCCAGGGGCCCTTTCTGGAGGAGTAGGGGTGGGCGCGTGTTTTGTTTGTTGCGGCACCCCCTGGAGGGGCAGATCGCGCTCCCCAGCGACGACGACGAGGGCATGATGGGCGATTTTTCCGAGGGGGTGACAGAGGCCTTCAGATGAAATGCCACACAGATCCTGTGGTTGGTCTCCTCGACTTCCCCTGGGCAAAGAGGAAGGCTATCACGAGCTAGCCCTCCTGCTCTTTGCCTGGGGGAGCTCGAGGAAGGCCAACCGCATGATCATTGCGGTTTTGCTTCGAAGGCTGAGCTCGACCTGAACCTCGGTTTATCATCGTGCAGATGCGGGTCGAAATGCATCCAGAATTGGGGCTTCAAGGACTATGGCCACGTAGTAAGGGGGAGGGGGGTGAGAGGAAGGCGAGGGGGCGGTGCGATGCGGGGGTGGGCACGGGAAGGAGAAAGGAGGGGAGGGGGGAGGAGGGCAGAAAAAACTGAGGGGGAGGAGGTGGAGGAGCAGGGGAGAGGAGGGGAGGGAAGACGCGATGGGGCCATGGCTGGATGCAGCTCGAAAAAACTGAATAGAACCCTGCTGCCGGGCCCAGGGGGGAGGGGCGCCTCTGACACCTAGAGGAGAAACACGCGGCCTTGATGCACCGGCAGAAGATCAAGGAAAACAAAGAGGATGCCAAAGAAATCATATTCAACACGATCAAGGACACCTGGACTTATCCAACAAGTCTCTAGTCATTCCCCCCCTCTGCTTCTCCTCCACTCACTCCTTCACCACTCTCTGGGGGCCCTCCTCCACCGCCCTCTGGGGCCCTCGTCGTGTTCCCCTCTCCCCTGCTCCTCCTTCTCCTTTTCCTCCTCCTACTCCACCTCCTCCTCCTCCTTCCCTCCCTCCTGCATCCCCGATCGCCTCCTCTCCCGCCCCCCGAGGGCCCGCCCACCACCTCCTCCCCCCTGAAGAGGGGGGGGCAGGGGGAGAACAGTTTTCATTATCATTGACATCGCGCCCATCAGGAGGCCACGACAACAGCGCAGGGGTTCGACAAAAAGGAAAAACGCGGATGGGCTTGGTGCGGCGCGCCACTATGCAGGTCTGCGTTCCGAGAAGCGGCAGGCATTTCAAACAAGACGCTCGTCAACATGGAGAAGGCTTTAAGGGCTGGCATGCTCGCCCCATACGAAGACCAGAGGAAGTACAACAGCAGCAACGACCAGTCGTTGGAGAAGCAGCTCGATCTAGATTCGTTTTTTTCGTTTGTCTACCAGTACTTGGCAGAAACACTTGCTGATGAGGATAGGGGGTGCAAGGAGTTAGCGGAGAAGGGGCACCACGCATTCATCCTGGAGTGGATCCAAGCCCGCGATGGCAACCCCCTGGCAGCGTCGAGCGCCGGCCTCATGCAGACAGCAGTGGATATGCGCGCCTTGCCCCACATGTCCTGGACGGAGTTCCACGAGCTGTACCAAGCGCACATGATGGAGAAAGAAGCTGAGGGTGGATGTGCAGGGTTCAAGGCGTTCAAGAAATATTTTGAAGATAATTGGTCCAACATGATCACATTCAGGGCTGTTGGTCAGCACGACCGTTGCGACACGTGCGCGGAGCTGACGAAGCTGCGGAGGGAGCACCCTATCAAGCGAGAGCGTGAACTAGCAGCCCAGGCTTTGAAGGCCCACCTTAACCGTATGTTCGACGACCGGAGAATGGATGCAAGGCTGACGCACTTGAGCGAGCTGTCAACATCACCATCGAGCTCAGTGCAATCAGTCCTGCACGTGCGGATTGATGGAATGGACCAAGCGAAGTTCAAGTGCCCTCGCAACGTGGAGTCAGCGAAGATGTGGTCATCCTTATGGCGCCCAACTTTACACACCGTGGGAATCATTTGCGAGGGCGTATGCGAGATCTACCTGGTCATGCCAGCTGACGAGGCCAAGGGTTCCAACATGGAAATTTCTTGCCTGTCGTACGCGCTGGACTTATGCAATCAAGAGTTGATGGCCAAAGGCCTCCGCATGCCAGACCACTTGTCAGTTACCTACGACAATACGGGCCGTGAAGGTAAAAACCAGCACGTGGCCATATGGTTAGCTTGGCTCGTTGCGTCAGGCAAGTTCCGGTCCACCCAGGATGGCCAGGGCGAGAAGGGCCACACGCACAACAAGATTGACCAGCGTTTCAGCGTCATCAGCACTATATTGAAGAGCGCGCCAGTTCTTCAAACTCCCAAGGACTGCATTCCGGAGGATGTGGAGGAGGAGGAGGAGGAGGAGGAGGATGGGGGAGGAGGAGGAGGGGGAGGAGGAGGAGGAGGATCAGCTACGCATCTTCGGGCAAATCAGCTTTGAGCAAAGAAGCAGTCTCGAGCCGAGCAGCTTTGAGCTGGGCAGCGTCGAGGAGGGGAGGTGGAGGAGGAGGAGGAGGAGGAGGAGGAGGAGGAGAAGGACAAGGTGGGGCTCTCGATTTCCTCCATGCCTC